GCTATTGTCCTCCCTTTCTCTAAACCTGGGCAGGATCCCAAGATTCCTTCTAATTATCGTCCCATCGCTTTGACTAGTTGTCTTTGTAAGGTTCTAGAGAGGATGGTTAATGCTCGTCTTGTTTGGTTCCTCGAATCAAACATGCTCCTATCACCCACCCAATGTGGGTTCCGTCGACAGCGCTCCACCATGGACCATGTGATTCGACATGAAACGTCGATAAGGGAAGCCTTTCTCAAGAGAAAACACCTTGTTTCTGTGTTCTTCGATCTCGAGAAGACTTATGACACTACGTGGAGGTACGGAATTTTGCAGGACCTCCACTCCTATGGGTTGCATGGCCATTTACCTCGCTGTATTTTTATATTTTACTTTAATTTACTTTCACTGTTTTTACCGGTTGTTTGGCGCAGATAGCCTTGTTGCTTTGCGCCATAAAACACCAAACAACCAAACCAAACTTCTTGTAGACTGGATAATGTTGATCATTAACTTCTGGTAGATCTTGTAATTGAAGTTCCATATATAGTTGGACATCCTAAGAATATGACGGTTATTTAAAGACCAGCACAATCTAAAAATGTTGGCTCATTCACAAAATAGGGTTTGTTTGCTTGTTTGAGAGCAAAGCTACGTTGGGCTATCTGTTGTGTCCACCTCGAGAAACTGAACTCCGGAATTTAGTGTAGAGTTGTAAGTTTGTAAAGTTACTGATGATTTAACGGGGTACCACAAAATAAGACGATTTGATCCGAGCAGTGATTAAAGTAAGTACATGCCAAATCAGTTGATAACGTTTCTGATAATAAAAAAAACAAACAAAAAAAACTTTACTGATATAATTTCATTCGGATTACTAACTATTTTCGGCAATGTACGTCAGAACTGATGACATATTTTATCTAAATCGACAGGATTTTCTTTGAAACAAGATACCTCGTGTCTATCTAGAAGAAGCGAGGTATGTAATAAATAAATGGTGACGAAAGCCATATTTTAAGTTGAGTTGGTATCATGAAAGATAACGCAGAGTGAGTTACAGTAAGTGAATTACGCCACATCCGCAAGTACTCAACACCCCAGGATGGGTTGAAGGATCCCGATAATCATCTTAATATACCTTAACGTTGGGTTAAAGAATATTTCGGCACTTAAATCGCAACCGAAACAGAACACCTGATTTATATATTCTTTCCGAAATGAATGATACGTTCGCCCGTCGTCGCCATGTTTTTTGTTGTTTTTCTCTTCTGGCTGTCTCTGACGTCAAGTATTCTAAATAGCGAGATATATAAGTTCCTTGGAATGTATTCCAGTCGGCAGAATGAGACGCTAAAGGTAAAGTTTTAATGTGACAGTAACACGCAAGGCCACCGAGAAAGGCCCTGTTCTAACAGGCCGGAAACCTCAAACAGGAAAAACAAAATGGCTGTGGACTGTTTAAGAATGCTGCAAAGTTCTTCCCTCTAGTCTATTAGTTCATTGTTAGGAAAACTATACAATTTATCCAAACATTGTTTGACAAATTAGTTTAAAATGTTTCATGTATAAACCAAAGCTCGTGATAGCTAGAAACTATTAAAAACTCTATCATGTTTTGTAAGACGTAGAGAATGTGTACTGAAAAACTAGAAAGTTTGATCGAATTAAAGCTGAAACAACTTTTGTTTTATTCTTTGAACATCACGAAATGATTGATTCATTTGGGACGGACTAGACGCTGAGTACCACTAACGTAACATTGTAAAGGTGGAGATTAAGTGACAACAAAGACGTCAAGTTTCAAATAAATATTCGATGAATTACATAAAGATCAAATGTAATATAAAACTTGGTGAACTTACTGTCATAGAGTAAAAATTAACTATATATTGTTTAGCATGAGGTATCCAACAGGGACTCTTTTAAACGGGTGTTCAATTAAAGATGAAAGCATGATACAACAATATTGGAAAGTAGCAGTGTTGAAATGGCCACAAAATAACTCTGAGAAGAATACTGTATTGTTGAGAGTAGCAGTGGGGAAGTAAACGGCCAGAAACAATACCAAGTAATATCAACAACTAGGAATGTCGAAATGACAACAAAATCAATGGTGAAAAGTGTTAAGATATTGTAATGGAAATTAGCAATAAATTTATAACATCAGAAATTAGAGGAGAACCCAGTACATCGCGTACCTCCGCCACGCACTGTTGATCACATTCGGCCCTAACAAAATCCGAAAATGTGTCCTTATCAACGGACACTGACCATAATATTCTACATTTGTCCACCACGTTCCATCAAAATCTGATAACCTTCGAGTGAGTTATAGTGCAACAATAGTGTGAAAAATCGGTCCCCATGTTAACAGATACGGATTTTTTTATTTTCCTGACCTTTGACTTAGACCCTCCAAAAGCTAATCACTTCGAAGTTAGGTCATAGTACAAATGTATACCAACTTTCGTCCACATTCATTCAGCTGTTTTCGAGAAATCTTGCTCACAAACACACACATAGGGGTGAAAACATAACCTCCGTCATCTTCGGTGGTTAAAGTAACAACAATATCAGGAACTAGCATTGTATAAATGGTTACAATGCCAAAGACGAAAAAGTTAATGTATTGTTATGAAAATCGTTATGTTAACATCCCCATAAAAGGTGTTTTTTTTAGGGGATGGTAACCTAGTAGCCCTCCCTTTCTTTTATACTTCATGGCCATATTTATTTGCTTCTAATGTGTGAAACTTGAAATTCAAAATATTTATCTAAATAGCAGAGAATGTCGGAGCCACACAGCAACAACAAATAAATATTACAATCGTATTTTGTGCAAAAACAAGATGTTTCGAACTGTAGGACAAACAACTCCGAACCTACTACTTCAGCTCTCTGGAGATAGCTAATTCTGTAAATTATGAGTACCATAAAATGGGCGTTCCGACAGACAAAGATCCGGACAATCCTGGCGCCCAGTTTTTCAGCGAAACAAGAAGACATGACCACACGCAGAGGAATCCCATATCTTCTGAGAAGCAGGCGCCAGTCAAGAAACGAGAAGTATGATATATAAGCTCAAGTTATTATGTATTAGCTACTTCCACACAGAGTTCAGGTTGACAACTACTTTTAGCTCGGTTTAAGCCAACGACGATCGCTTTACGAAAAAGTCGACTTAACAGAAGCTAATTACTGTTCTTCAACATCATACAATTATTTAAATTCAAAATTTACAGGTAATCTATAAAAAAGAAACGCATACTCACAATATTTATAACCTACCACTAATATTCTTTTTCGTTGGTTTTTTTTTTTTTTTTTTTTTTTCTCTATATATACGTAGTCGTACGTACGTAGTAGTATACT